AACATGGGACATGCTGTACAGGTAACAACTATAAAAGACTGGAGAAGGGCTCAGTCTTGGCTGGCAGCTGGGAGGGAAGGACAGGACAGGACTAGACTAGACTAGACTAGACTAGACGAGACGAGACGAGACGCAACCCAAGACTCCAAGAGAAGCCAGCGGCGATGCTGAGGCGAGTTGGGGGCATTGCAGAGGCCCCCTGCCAATGAGATGTCACCCCAGTGGGGGCAGCCAGCTTGACAAGTACATGGGGAGCATGCCCAGGCTGCAGTTCAACTATAAAAGACTGGAGAAGGGCTCAGTCTTGGCTGGCAGCTGGGAGGGAAGGACAGGACAGGACTAGACTAGACTAGACTAGACTAGACTAGACGCAACCCAAGACTCACCCCAGGCCTCCAGGAGAAGCCGGCGGCGATGCTGAGGCGGGTTGGGGGCATTGCAGAGGCAGCCTGCCAATGAGATGTCACCCCAGTGGGGGCAGCCAGCTTGACAAGTACATGGGGAGTAGTTCCAGCGGACCAGGTAGGAAGTGGCCCAGGGCAGGGGCCGGGGCTGCCTCTCCTGCCTGAGGAACCTCGGTGTGTTTTGGCAGGACTTCCCTGCCAAGGGAGTGTCATGCTGTCCTGCCACTCACAGGGACCTGGGCTGGGACTCGGTGGAGTAGGGTGGGCCTGGGTCCCCCTACCAGGGGTATGACCCCATGACAACCCTGACCTGCCAGCAAGGGCCTTGCCTTAAAGAGCTATACCTTGAACTATGTGTATGGACTCAGGCCGGCGGGCCCTGCCTGGAAGAGCTATCTAGAGACTGTGGCTACGTCTACACTGGCAGCTTCTTGTGCAAAAACTCTTCCACAAGAGAGTGTCTACACTAGCATGTTCTTTTGAGCAAGAGCACCCATGGCAGTGTAGTTGCTCTCTTGTGCAAGAAAGCTCTGATGGCCATTTTAGTCATAGGGGCTTCTTGCGCAAGAAATTCATGTTGCCTGTCTACCCTGGCCTGTTCAGGAAGAGCTCTTGCGCAAGAGGGCTTATTCCTTGCGGGGAGAGGAATAACTCTTCCGGAAGAAGCCCTGTTTTACAATGCTATACTGTAAATTTACTTCTGGAAGAATGCTCGTCCAGTGTAGACAGCTGGCAAATTTTTGCAGAAGGATGTCTGATCTTCAGCAAGAAGCTGCCAGTGTAGATGTAGTGACTGTATTGACTTAGGCCAGTGAACCAGGCTCTAGAGGGGTAGATGGTACCTGGGTTTATTGAGTCGGGACCCCTTCCTGTCTGCCAGTGAGGGCAGGAGGGAGTGCCCCTCCACACTACACTGTAACATCCCTATTTGAGTCTGGCAACATCCATGGGCCGGCATGATTATAGTTAACTGGATGGCTGCTTATCACGGGTGTGGCCAAGTCTCTGGCAGTCCCATAAAGTTTGTTTAATTTACAGCCACTGGTCCTGGCTCTCAGCATTCTCAGGTAGCTCTAATTTGCCCCTAAAAGCCCAGGAAGCAGTGGAAGTGTTGGTGATGCTGCTAAACAATATGGACCTCTCATAGTTCAGCAAATTCTCTGGTCTGGCACTGGTCAGGTCCCAAAGGTGCTGGATTAGTGGTTCAACCTGCATGCAGTTTTCTGCTCCCCTGCTGGCTGCTTCAGCACAGCCCCATGGCACAGAGCAACACTGTCTGCTTCCCAGGCCAGACAGAGCCCTGTCCACAACCCAGCCCTTCAATGCAATCTCATCCCTTCCCCTGCACACTGGGGCTATGTCTAGACTGCATCCCTCTGTCAGGGATTGAAATACCCTGCATTTCATTAACATAAACATGGCTGCCACTTTTTTAAAAAAAGGCAGTCTAGACCCGGATCTGTCGAAAATAAACCCTTTTTTGACCGATCCTGTATTCCTCAAAAAATGAGGCTTACATGATCTGTTGTAAAAGGGTTTATTTTTGACAGATCCACGTCTAGACGACCGTTTTTTTGAAAACTCCATTTTTGTGCATGTTTGTGCTAATGAAACGTGGGATATTTAAATCCCTGCTTCATTAGCAATTTCGATGTGCCTAACCTACATCCCTCTGTCTACAGAGACCATGTAGTCTAGACACACCCTCTGAGGGAGTAAGACAGGCTGTCAGCTGTTCAACCACTAAGGCGTAACCCCCCAGATCCCACCCCATCACTGCCAAGCACCCTGCTCGCTCTTCCCCTGCCATTGCTCTTCCACTTTTACCTATCTGGTACATTTAGGAATAAACATGGAAACTCCGAAGCACTTTCCAACCAAATAAACCCTGAAAATGATGGGCTTAGGGTACCCTCAAACCCACCCCAGCTCCTGAGCTAGCAGCACACAGGCCTGCATGGACAGCACATTGAAGTGTGGATGCTCCAAGTGGGTGAGACCAGCCCGGAATAACTCTGCAATGTTGAGTGGGGCTCAAACAGCAGAGGTCAGTTGCTTAGGGCTTAACTCAGATTTAAGCTCCAATGGCCCTGTCAGCTTAATTGGGCTGCTAACCCAGCCAGCTGTGACTTTCCTGCTATTTTAACCCAAACGAGTGCCCTCCTCCCCCGTTAAGAACACACCCAAGGGCGGCTCTAGACTAGCTGCCAGCAACTGGTGCCCTAGGCGAGCCATGCAATCGGTGCCCCCACCTCCAAACCCCTCAATGATATTGTGCCACCATTTGGCGCCCATTTAACTTGGTGACCACCTAGTTCGCCTATATGGACGGGCCACCCCTGAACACACCTTTTTTGCAGCAAAGACTGGTGCTCAGATGCTCTGGACAAAAGCGTCTGGGGAGGGCAGGTCTGTGTGCGTGCACACATGTACGTTATACTCACTGCACAAAAGGCAAAATAGTGGCATCATTACACAGGCCATTTTCTTCCAGACGAGAGGTGCCATCAGGTCTGGGCATGGGGAAAAAGGACCAGGAATGAAACTGATTAATCACCTTTCCAGGGAACCACATCAAGTCCCTGCATTTCCATCGGTATCTGGCCACAGGATCTGCTGCATCGTCTGTAGCCAGCATCGCAACCCCGTGCCTAACGCCTTTGGTAAAATGGGTTCTAAGCCAGGAAGGGAACAAAGCGCCATAGACTTGCCTGACAGAGCAAAGAGTGGTTGCATTTCCATCCCAGCAGGCTTCATGAGCATGTTTATGCCCTCACAGATGGAATGCAGCCACCTCTGGGGTGTGGCACACCAGCTGCTTGGCAGCATATAGCCAACGTGGATGGCATTTTCAGAGCAGATCCAAAGGAAGGCTCTTGTATGGGGTTGACATTGCCAAGGGATTTAGGGAGGGAAAGGAGTTAACCACAGTGGGATATGACTGTGGGGACATCCTGCCTGCTTGGGAAAGACACAAAGGTGGTGTCTCAGCAAGAAGCAGCAAAGCACCATGTGTAAGGAGAGCGCTCCCTACCAAGCCCCCCACCGGGCTCCCTGAAGTGCTCTCCACCACCATGCTGGGACACTGAGGCCACTCTGACTGCAAGGAGAAGACCCCCATACCAAGCCCCCCTCTCCACTCCCTGCAGTCTTGCACCAGCTAGTGCCCCATTAGGACAGACACCCTCAGAATGGAAAGTGCCCCCCTCTGAGCCTCCAGCCCCCTTAGGCCCTTTCTAAACTAGGACCTCTTCGGCCACTTGGTTGTAGTACAGGGCAATGTGCTCCTAGACCATGCAGCTTATTGTGTCAAAACGGCCCTTTGTACTATACACCTTATTCCAGCCCCCAGGTGAAACACGGGTGGTGCATTGAAACGGTGTAAAAATGACACTCCCACTTGTACAATGCTAGTTGTAACAGGACAGTGTCCTTGCTAACAGGACAATGATTTCAAAATCTGGTTGTCCAATCAGTCTTAGCTTTCTTGTAGGCTGCATCTAGATTGGTGTGATTTTTCCGGAAATGCTTTTAACGGAAAAGTTTTCTGTTAAAAGCATTTTCGGAACAGAGCATCTAGATTGGCATGGACGCTTTTTTGCAAAAAGTGCTTTTGTGGAAAAGCGGCCATGCCAATTTAGACACGCTTTGCCGCAAAAAAGCCCCGATCGCCATTTTCCTGATCGGGGCTTTTTTGCAGAAAACAAATCTGAGCTGTCTACACTGGCTCTTTTGCACAAAAGCTTTGCGCAAAAGGGACTTTTGCCTGAATGGGAGCAGAATAGTATTTCTGCAAGAAGCACTGATTTCTTACAGTAGGAAGTCTATAAAGAGCTACCAGACCATTTGTTTTTTTAAATTATCACATTGTCATGCGGATTTGATGAAATGTCTAGAAATGTTGTTTTATGTGGCTACATTTGCAAGTCATTTGGGTCTTTGACTAAGGAACTGGGAACTAGGAACAGAGCTGGTACCACAAAAAAAACCAGGAATAAGAAGGAACCATCTTCACCCTTCTCGCTGAGGTCTGTAGCATAGAACAAGCCTAAGGCTTCCTCTGCTCCGTCTGCACCCAGAACTAGATTGTTTATCTATCTGGGTTCCTTCTGTCTCTCGCTTGCCACACACTGGTTACAGCTAGCAAACTCGTGTCTGATGCAATCCCATCATTCTGAGAACTCAGTTTCAGGGAGGTGGGGCAACTGGCCACTCAGGCTCGATGGTCAGGGTGTGTCTGAAAATAAAATTCCTCTCCCGAACCCATGGAAAGAAGCCAGGAGTCCCAATGCCCTGTTCCTCCAGTCAGGGCAAGACCCCCAGAGTCCTGACTCCCTGTCCCCACTACTAACCATCTGGACCCCACTCTGAAATGGCCACTCATCATTGGCAAGGGGGTGTGGTCCTTCCGCTGTCTTCTATCCTGGCTGCCTCCCTGCAGCCCTAGTACCCTCATGCCTTGCCTAGAGTTGCCAGGTGTCCGGTATTTTCACCTCCTGTCAGTAAAAAAAAAAAAAAAATCAGAAAATACCTAATGTCCAGTATTTTCTGGGGGTTTTCCCCCTGCCAGGAGATGAAAATACAGGATACCTGGCAACCCTACACACACTCAGCAACTGGGCCCAGCCTCCCCTCGGATCCCCCACCAGTCCCCGGAACCTCCTTCTTGTGGCTGGAATAGAAAAACAAAATGGCCACCGGCAAAAAAGCCTCTTCTTAAAGGGTAGTAGAGAGGTAGCCGTGTTCGTTTTTCCTTTCGTTTTAGAGCTAACAAGATGGCTTAATAGGCGATGAGCTTTTGTGGGCCAGACCCGCTTTCTCAGATCATCAGAGGAAGTGGGTCTGGCCCACGAAAGCTCATTGCCTATTAAACCATCTTGTTAGTCTTTAAATTGCTACATGGCTTTTCCTTTTCTTCTTAGAGGAGCCACATTGGTTTTTTTTCTTAACTGCTGTTGCTCCCCCCAAACTACTTTAGTCTCCCTCTTTTTTTTCCCCTCAATTTTTTTTTCCTGTTTTGTGTTTTTTTGGGGGGGCGTGTTCAGTATTTTTGGCTAAACCATCAAGCAACCCTAGCCTTACCGCCTGGGAGTGAGACCAGGCCAGCGCTCCCCAGCCCTGCTCTGTCCCAGGAAGCCTCCAAATTCCCTGGCAGCCAGGTCCCTCCTACTCCCCCGTTAGAGCAGGAGTGAGTCAGTTCTCCTCCTCCCCTCTCCCTCCCAGGAGCCTTCATTTATACAGCCCCAGCTGGGCCCTCATTGGCTGTATCTGCCTCAGCTGTGGGCTCCACTCTTAGTCCTCTCCCAGGGCTGGGTTTTAACCCTTAAAGGGCCAGTGCCGAGCAAGCGATGAGTGGCTCTTACCTGGGCTAAGGTTGGTGATCTGATCCCACCGCTGCCACTAACCAGCAGGCCAGAGAGGATATGGCAGATAGCTATCAGTCCTACTCCTCTATATCTGTGGCAATAGCCTCAGCACTGTGAGTGGCTGGTGGCTCAGGAGAGGAAAGGGAACCATGATAGTGACTTCCGGGCTCTTGAAGGCAACATGCTTGCTGCTTAGACGGCAATAAGAATCAAGGGTTAGAATGACTAGGAGTCAGGACTCCTGGGTTCTAGCCCCAGCTTGGGGAGGGGAGTGGGGAGGAGTAGGAGGGCTGGGAATTAGGTCTCCTCAGTTCTCTGACCGGGACCCTCCTCTCTCCTGAAGGCTGAGATGCTGTGAGATCCCAACTGGATGGTGCTACCACAGGACAAAGCTTCATCCCTTCCCTAGGGCCTCAGAGCCACCCCCTGTTGCAGACCTCTTAGCTCCTCGTCCGGCAGCCCATTTGGCAGGGCAGTTGCTAGGAATTAAGGGGTTAATGAGAAAAAGCATCTCCCTCTTCATTATAATCAGCCCATGGAACTGGGGGCTTTTGGCTTCCAGGGAAGGTCCACAGGGCTTTTGCTGAGGTCAGAGAACAGAGCAAAACAGCTGCCCCTGGCACGTTGGAACAGCCGCCCCAGGCACGTTGGCAGCGTGTTGTATGGGGGGGAGCCTAGGTGGCCCCGGTTCCAGGAATATTCCATAAAATATGAGGCTCCATTCAAAACTTGCACCAGCCTGCCTACCTGTGCTCCTTCTCTCCAGTGTCACATGTGCCCCTGCAACAACTTGTGTGCCTCCCCCCACGTGTCCCTTGGCCCCACCTGCCATCCCAGGGCAATTTAAAATGCCCCAGGGAGGGGAGGCATCAACTGCACAGTGGGGTGAGAGCAATTTCCAGAGACGTGCTTACCCCAGCTGCCTACGTGTGCCCACCCCCGGCCAGGGTGAACTATGAGCAAAGCTGAGAAGAGAACATGGGAGACCCATGTCGCCAAGCCATTCACTTCCCAGAGCTACAGATGGAACCCAGGCATCCTGACCCATTGTGGGGAGCAAGTCACCAGCTGGGGGCTGAATTTTGGGGGTGCTCTGCTCCCACAGGCCAGGTTCTGTTGTGTCTAGCTGCATGTAGGGGATTGACAGATTAATGGTGCCCTCTAATAGCCACCCCATAGGGAGAATTTGGGACCTGTTAATAACAGCCCCCACTTTTCCTGTGACTTAAAGGGCTGGAGAAGGCATGCTGCAGAGTTGCTCTTAGTCCAGCTCTGCCTGCTTTGCAACATACACCCCTGTTACTTTTAACAGAACTTTGCTACTGAGAAAACAATAAGGAAATTCATAGAACCATAGAGCTGGAAGAGACCTCAGAAGGTCATCAAGTCCAGCCCCCTGCCCAAGGTAGAAATGCACCACTGGGAATTGAACCCAGGATCTCCTGTTTACAAGGCCAGGGCTTTAGCCAGCTAATTCTCAAACAAGAAGGTTAAACAGGAGTTCGGGATGAGAAATGGTCAGTAATTTCCAGACAAAGTAAAATGGAGCCAACTCACAGCAGCTGAGCATCTGGCCTCATTCACTCCAGTGGAGCTATGGCCGATTCACGCGGGCTGGGTATCCGGCCCCATTCACCCCAGTGGAGCTATGGCCGATTCACGCGGGCTGCGGATCCGGCCCCATTCACTCCAGTGGAGCTATGGCCGATTCACGCGGGCTGCGGATCCGGCCCCATTCACTCCAGTGGAGCTATGGCCGATTCACGCGGGCTGCGGATCCGGCCCCATTCACTCCAGTGGAGCTATGGCCGATTCACGCGGGCTGCGGATCCGGCCCCATTCACTCCAGTGGAGCTATGGCCGATTCACGCGGGCTGCGTATCCGGCCCCATTCACCCCAGTGGAGCTATGGCCGATTCACGCGGGCTGCGTATCCGGCCCCATTCACCCCAGTGGAGCTATGGCCGATTCACGCGGGCTGCGTATCCGGCCCCATTCACCCCAGTGGAGCTATGGCCGATTCACGCGGGCTGCGTATCCGGCCCCATTCACCCCAGTGGAGCTATGGCCGATTCACGCGGGCTGCGTATCCGGCCCCATTCACCCCAGTGGAGCTATGGCCGATTCACGCGGGCTGCGTATCCGGCCCCATTCACCCCAGTGGAGCTATGGCCGATTCACGCGGGCTGCGTATCCGGCCCCATTCACCCCAGTGGAGCTATGGCCGATTCACGCGGGCTGCGTATCCGGCCCCATTCACCCCAGTGGAGCTATGGCCGATTCATGCGGGCTGGGTATCCGGCCCTATTCACTCCAGTGGAGCTATGGCCGATTCACGCGGGCTGCGGATCCGGCCCCATTCACTCCAGTGGAGCTATGGCCGATTCACAGAGGCTTAGTGTCTGGCCCCATTCACTCCAATGGAGCTTGGGATGATTTTCACCAGATGAGCATCTGGAAGACTAAGCGATTGGGGCCCCTCTGTGTTTAGGATTCACTCCAATGGAGCTTGGGATGATTTTCACCAGATGAGCGTCTGGCAGACTAAGCGATGGGGCCCCTCTGTGTTTAGAGGGCCAGCAGCACAGCGGGGACCCTAGATGGTTGGGATCTTGGGTGATCTCAGTGGGTTCCTTTAGGCCCAATGGAGGGTCTGTGTGTTTCCTGCCCAATTGGGAAGGGGGGTGGGCAGTGCCAGGAGGGGCAGTTGGACCTAGCATCTCCAGTGCCAGTGGCCCCAGCACAGGGTGTGGGACTCAGCCTTTCCGCCAGACAAGGAAAGCATGGGACCCAATGGGATCAGACCCTGTGCTTTGAGGGTTTGCCATCCTGATGTCTGGGGATGCCCAGCCATCCTCTCGAGGATGCCGAGACTCCGCTGCCCTGGGCACTTCTCCGGGGCAGTCAGGGTGACACAGGAGGGCCAGGATGTCCTAGCTGTGACCTGAACCTCACTGTGATATTCCCCAGCAAGCTTTGCTGCGATGTTCTCAAACACCAGCTCCTGCTGGGACAGCCCCAGGCGGGTGTTACCCATGTGCCGGGCACAGGCAGCGTTAGGAAGATCACTGTGGGTTGAATGGCAGATAAAGTTCACAGATTCGCCTTTATGCGGGTTAGTCCTGGCAGTCATGATGCTAATTGAACAGAGGAACGATCCATACAAAGGAAAAGAGGAACTGGGTGCCTACCATGTTCTAGTTCGTGATTGTACGTGGGATTTGGCTGGCATCACTTTAAATGGTCTGTGAGCCTCCCGGTCGCTCATCATGTTCTGTGGCTCAGAAAGCAACTAGAGCAGCTGCGTGGGGTCATCTCGGCCTGACAGGTAATGCCTGGCTAGTAGACAGGGATCTTTGCACCCCCACAGCCTGTGGGTCTCTTCATCTGATGGCTGATATCTAAAGGCAAAAGACACAGCATTAGAACCGGTCAGAAAAGAAGTGCGTGTGTAAAGTATCAGGTACAGGGGCTTTTGAAAGAGGAGGTTTTTCCGACACTTGGCCCCGTGTAGGCCACCCCCGCAGCTCCCCTCAGCTGCCTGTCCCAGGGCTTCAGCGAGACACTTCCAGGAGCAAGGAGAGCCTGGAAGCCTGTCTCAGGCCCCTTGTGCTGCAACGGCTGCATGCCCTGGGCAATTGTCCCTTTGTCTCCCCCCCCCCATTGGCTGGTCTGGGTCCACTGGGTCCAGATGTTCCAGCTCGGCCCACTCCCTTCCCGTGTGCCGGAGGGGAGGCTGGAGAACGTGCAGATGAGACTCAGAGGGAAGGCGTGACTGGTGGGCGGAGGGGGGGAGA